CCCATCCACACTGGCTCTGCATTCACTCCAACTGACTGTCCCTCGTCTTCCCAGGCATGGAGCACCTGGAGAATGGGCCCAGTGTCTCTGTGGACTACAACACATCTGACCCGCTCATCCGGTGGGATTCCTATGAGAACTTCAACATCCAGCGTGAGGACAGCGTGGAGGGCTCCTGGGCTGAGCCGCCCCTGGCTGGCAAACACCTGGAGAAAGGTTAGGGCTGCGGGCGGTTCGTGGGTGTAATCTGCAGGTTCCCGTCTTGCTCCTGGAGAGATGAATGTGGTGAAAGGGTCCTTGTGGGAATCCACCCTCCTTTGCTGGGAGAAGGAGAAACTGGCAGGGAGCAAAGCTGGGGGGATGTAACCACTGCTGAGGGAGAACATGGCTAAGGGACCTGCGCTGCTAGCTGGGAACAAGCTGGTGAGCAAAAAAGCTGGCCCCTAAGCCTGCAGGGAGCCCTGTCATGGAGCATTGAACCCCAAGGGCAGGGTTATGGAGGCGAGGCAGGATGCGGTGCCTGGGGATGTCACCAGTCCAAGCCTGGCCGGGTTCCTGCAGTGCCCTTGTTTTTTTGCAGCTGGGTTTCTCACACGAGCTGGGCTGCACCGGGATGCTGGGACCTGGGTAAGCCCACATGTTCCCCCGAGACTCCTCCAGCACCTGTAGGCCAGCTGGGTGATCTGATCCAGCCACATCTCCCTCAGGCCACAGCATAGATGGAGTGAAGGGGAACTGGAGATCTCTAAATAACTGGGCCAGAGGGAATAGCAAACCTTGATGGAGATGCTCTGAGGCAGTGCTGAGGAGGGAGCTGAGTTCTGGTGGGAAGCTCTTACTGACTTCTCTCCTCCCATGGTGCCTGGGAGCTCAGGGTCTTCTCTCAGTGCTCTTGCTCTCACAGTCCTGTTTGCGCAGAGCAGGATCTAGCCCTGGTTCACATGCCGCTTGTTCCCAGAGCTTTGGGAAACCTCATCATGTTCCCAGCCCCACTAAAAACCTCTTTTTAAAAACCAGGAGCTGGCCTACAGAACAGCCAGCTGGGGCCATTATGTCTCCCAACTCCTTTCTTGTGGTGCCAGGGTGGCAAAGTCACAGGACGTAGCTGTGCATCAGTTTCCCCTTGGGGATAAGGAGGGCCTGCGCTGTTGTTCGGAGCCCGGGAAAGTCTCTTGAGCACCCACTTGGATGGCACGAGTCAATGGCCTTCGCCCACTTGCCAGGAACAGAGCGTACTTTTATGTCGAGGTGTGGTGGGCCTGTGTCCCGGCTGGGAAACCACCTGTGACCGAACAGATGCCTGAACTTTCCTGGCCGGGTCCGTGCAGCCGGTCCAGCCAGGCGTCCCTGGAACGGCGGCGCGAAGCTGGGACAGCTGCGATCCCTGGCGCGCCTGAAGGTCACCGGCCGCT